GGGCTATCCATTATTGTGTATTTTTTCCGTAAGGCAAGTTTTAGTGGTACAGCTAAAAATTATACAAACTTCTAAACTAGGTTGTTACCTAAATTGGGGCCCAACGTGGGGCATGAATCAACGACCCTGACACTAAGAGTCTCATCCTCTACCGACTAAACTAGCCGAGCCGCAATTCCAATAGGAACAACTAACTGACAGACTGACTGAGAGTCTTAACTCAACTTTGCGTTTCGGGTTTAAAACAACAATATATTAACTACTCTAACTGATGGAACGTTACTATAATTTCCACATTACAGAGTCCTAAGACTACCGATACTGTAGACTCGAAACTATTTCATTTATTTAAAAATATATTATTATGTTAAAATAAAATAAAAGGTTGACTGACAAAAAATGCCTGGGGCATTAATCCTGCTTACATATCTAAGGTTTAAGAACTAAAAATACTTTTCAAAAAAAGTTTAAGGGAGTTAGACAGCGCAGACTTTACAATTTCTGTTCATGGATTTATTGTAACAAAACCAATATATTTTATTACAATACACAAAATATAGTTATTATCAAAAAAGATGAAACAAAAGTAACATTAGCGAAAAGATAAAACGCAAAATGCCACAAAAAAATTGACACGAGTATAAGATCTGTAAACAACTTTAAATAAAAAGTAAGTAAATAACAAAAATATGTTTTCATAGCATTAGTATTCAATTTTATCTAGCGAGTAAGGCCAATCTACAATGCATTTTAAAATGAAGGTAAATGCAGTTTTGTAAATACTTGGTTATAAAAAGAATTAAAAAGCAAGAAAGCCGTATTCCTCTCAGCGCTGTTAACTCTAGTTTTATTTTAAGCAACGCGGCAAAGGTTTTTATATGTCTGCAACGAGCAAGCTATGAACACAATAATATTAATAGTTGAAGTTCCATTCAAAAAATGATTTAACAGAATGTTTTTTTCCAATTTATCTCCAATAACTTCAACTAACTTTATCTAACTTTCAACGTCGTTACTATATTTTTATATGATTTATATATTTAGGATTCATTTTCATTTTTAGTTTTAAATTGCAAGTAGTGTTTGAAATACAATTTCAGTGATGCATTATTATAAATGAGTTTTTTATGAATCATTAAATTTACTAATTAAGGTTGAACGGCCTTATTTACAATTCTACGGTATTCTTAATTGCCCGAGATCTCTTACTTATGTGATAAACACAAAAGACTACTTTATTTCAAAAATCTTTACAATGTTTGAATTCTACATTAAATAAAATTCTGTACATAAGAGAGCATTTGTGCAAGAAATATAAATTCACAAATTTAGTATAAATAGCAATATTTAATCTCCCCAACTGTTCAACGTTCCTGCTAATCGACTCCTGACCCTCTTTCGTGATAAACGCTTAGGCGGGAACTGTCTAATACAAGCTCAATCCATCAACTTTGACGTACGCCGCCTCCCCTCATGTTATTACGGTTTTTATACACTTCACGATTTATAATTATGTTTTCTACATAAATCAAAGAGTTGTGTTTCCATAATATATTTATAATTTATGAACATTTTACGTAGGTATTTGTATCTGTTACAGTTAACTTTGAAAGAAAATGCTTTAATGTCTGTAAACGGTGATAAGCTGTTTTCCACATCCCTCATTATAAGTCCTCCACTTTATAGGTGAAAATTTTTCTTCAAATTAAAAATTAGTCAGTTCAGTTCAGTTCCTTCAGTCTTACTAACTCATTTTGACGAAAAAAAATTCAAAAATTACAAAAATATCGTGCAAAACACATTTATTGTATCCAACCATCCAATTCCTTTTTGAAAACGGTTAAACATGAAATACATTTATAAATCAATGACATTGTCGTTATTAGATCTTATTTGAAAATGTATCCCAAACCCTTTACGTTTATTGAATTGAAATTGTTTATTTAAATTTTATAACTTAATATCGTCTTTAATTACTAAAACAAAGCATAGAAGCAAGGAATAGAATCGTTTTGGAATAGAGCAAGGATATAAACATCGCGGGGCAGTAAAATAATATTCGATACTTAGTACATTATAAAGTTGTGTCAATAATATAAATCGAGAACATTATAATGACCATTCCTTAACAATGATTCGGTTCGGTGGTCTCGTGACAATGTGACCTTGGCATCTGTGATAAATGCCCACTAGTCTCGACTTTAGAAACATTCGCCCAGACGGCGCCCGATGTTTGTTACATTTAGGACAAATACAAAAAAAAACTCGTGACGACATGCCGTGGTTAAACAATTTATTTTTATAGGTGTAAATAAGCAAGAGATGTAGATTCATGTTATGTTATGTCATTAATAAATTAACTATATTACGATTTCAAACCTAAATCTTTAATACCAATACAAAGTTGTTTTATACTTAGTTAGCTACTCAAAGACGACTTCGTTATAATCATCTAAAGAAAAGTGAAAACAGTATTTCAATGAGCATGATGAAATCATTGGAGAGAGTCTTTTCCTATTTATCATATTCCTCAAGTTAACAAAATACAATTGGAGTTTTTGGTATCACTTTCAAGTTCTGATTATAGGTTTTAATTTAATTAATGATTAAATGACGATTTAATGTACTAACTGGTACTAGTCTACCTCTACTTTCTGTTTGTCTGGTTAATTAGTCCTGCAAATAAATCTTTACATTACTAATTTAGTATGTTTTATTCTTTGGTTGTATGTATAACAGTATAGGTAAACCCTTTAGTTTTATTATATATGTACGTAAGCCCAAAGCAGACGCATAATTCTTGCTTACTTGAGTGAGATGCCCATAGATTAACGCTAACCAGGACATAGAATTTGGCAAAGCTCCGTAGCCAGACTGGCGCCATTCTGACATACTTCAGATCTTTGCCAACTTGATTTTATATCATTTCTTCATCTATTATGGAAGCATCGAAATTGTAAATATCTTTTTTTTTTATTTATTTATTCGATAAAGGTTTTCGGCACCACCGGAATATATTACGATAAAAGTTTTACGTTATTTGTTTGAGTTACTATTTATGATTGTCGTAGTTTCTTCCCGAAGAAGAGATCAAGACTTTTACTACAAAACCTATAATTATGATCATCAATAACAATCATACTAGGAATCAAATTCAACAGTTTAATTACTTAAAAGATGTTGAACCGAGTATTAAAATTAAATATTTACTTCATTTTATTGAACCTTCACAAAAGCAAAAGTAGGTTAAGGTAGTTAATGACTGTTTAATAACTGCACTATAACATGAAACTACTTGTTTCAGAGTCCCATTTTATTAAGCCCTAAAATTGACAAGTTTTTTTGTAAACGATATTTAATTTCGATAAATACCAATAAACAAACTAAATTATGCGTACGAAGTTATTTTGGACACAAAAAAGTGGTGGTTAAAGTTTTTATAGATCTGTGCGTCTATGCGTGGTTTTTTTTATGGAAAAGGGGGTAAGCGAGCAGACGGGTCACCTGATGTAAAGCGACTACCGCCACCCATGAACGCCTCAGGAGTCACCAGCGCGTTGCCGGCCTTTGTGGAAGGAATACACTCTTTTTTTAAAAGTCGTATCGGTCCGAAAATACCGCAACGACGAAACTTTCTCAAAGGTTGATTGTGCGGGGCAAAAAGTGGCTTGAAAAGCGCACAAATTTTGCCGTATGTAAAGATAGCGGAAAGTTTATATGGAATTTCAAAATAAGGAATTGCTATAAAATATGAAACAGTTGACTAACAAAAAAACAATGGTTGTAAGCTTACTTGATAAACTATATACCACAAAATATTACACTGAGATTTATTTGATTAAGTATCTTCAAATATCCGGCCAAACTCTCATATTGACACTTAGCAACCTCATTACTACAAAGGAACGCCATAATACGAACATTTGCCTGCTCTTTTACATTGGTCTTATTTCTATTGAGCTAAAGTACACAGCCTTAGATTCTTTACAATAATAAAAAATAAACTGAAAAGTCAAATGTATTCCAACGATATTTAAATAATAATTGAAGGTTAAGAGATATAAGCGTATGAGACAGTACTAGAAACAGCTTTAGTTAAACTAAATTGCAGCGCACCTTTGAAAAAAAATACAAATGTTACTAAATCTCAAAACTTTCCTAATGATGAAAACATATAACTTTTTGTTCTGTATTCTGTGAAAACACTCACCAGGTCATATAGGGACGATTCGGGGAACCAAATGGACTCCAAATGTGATTATTGTTAAAAGTGGGTATATTATAGGGCACTGTCAAGGTTTTAAACTAGGGCTCATCCTGTAAAGAATGCTCGCAAAGAAAACTAAATAAACTTTAAGTTTTAACTAAGAAAAATAAAAATGATTTTCTTAAGTATTCCATTTAAAAGCAGTATCTAAAAACCACGTTTTATTTATATAGTATTATAAATAATATCTCTACAAATGTTTTTTATCTGATATCTTAAGTACACTTACTACTACTTTAAAGTATAAATAATAAATCAGATACATTTTGTAAATGTTGTCGTTACTCATAACAAGGGTACAGCGCGTATTAAAGTATTCTGTTTGACTGTATACCGTAATAATACGTTTCTATTTGGTCTTTGTGTTCATTTGAAATAGGTATACTTTTATCTTTTACAATAGAAGGTACCCCATTATTAATTTATAACGAGACATGAGAAGAATAGACTTGTTTTACACTTTTGTGTGGCCTTTGACTACTAAAAGTAATAGTTTTAAACAGGTTATCTTTTGTAATTCACCACTTATCATAATATTATCTGTTGCTTGTATTTCTATTTCGTATGTTATAGTCGTTGGTTCGTTATTCGTAGTAGTAGCATAATGTTAAACAAATTCCTAATATTATGATTTTATTAAATCCAACTTCACCCTAGAGATTATTAATTTCAACCAATAAACAAACTCAGTTTCATTTTATTAGTCCCGCAAATATAACATGAAAATTTATATTCACTCACCAAAAGGCTTCTCGAATCTGCAGTCAAGTAACAGTACATGACCTGTGGGACCGCTGGTGCCTACGACAGCACCACCGCGCATCATCAATTGAGCCTCCAGCTCGATCCAGCGTCCTCCACACTCTTGCTGTAAATACAACAAAAGGTAAGTCTTTTTATATATTTTAACATATTAAATGTAATCTTAGTTATATTTATACTTATTTTAAACAAATTTTAATTATTATTTTATTCTTTCTTAAACCTGCATAAAAAGTATATCAAGTACAAAACATTACTACATTACACTGTGGTATATTTATATTTTTATATTACCACGGAGGAAAAAGGTGACTTGTCTTTCAACAATCTCATATAATCATAAACACTAGTAGACCCTTACTAAGAAAAGCAGTACAAGGTGAGACTTATACGTAGTTGGTTCGTCTATCTTCCAAATCCATCCTTAACTTTAAAAAAAAGAAAATTCGGACACATAACTGCCTCAGCCAAAATCGGAATCCTCGGAATCTCGGAATCGGAGTTTCGGGGTCACTTAGAGGGTAATGTCAAATTGGCCTCGAAGAAGCTCGGTGTCCTAAACAGATCGAGGCAGTATTTCACTCCGCCCCACCGCCTTCAGCTCTATAAGGCGCAAGTCCGGCCGTATACGGAATACTGTTCTCATCTCTATGCAGAGGCACCTCAGTACCAGCTTCTCCCTTTGGACAGCACCTAACGAAGAGCGACTCGAATCGTCGATAGCCTAAACATCTCCGATCGGCTCGATTCCTTGGCGTTACGTAGAGATGTGGCTTCACTCTGCATTCTCTATCGCATATATCATGATAGTGCTCCGAGGAACTGTTCGGACTAATACCATCCGCAAATTTCCGCCATCATTCCACACGGCAAAATTCAGCAAACAAAAAGTCCGGCAACGCGTTTGTGACTCCTGAATTCATGGGCGGCGACAGTCACTTTCCATCAGGTAACCCGTCTGCTCGTCTGCCCCCTCTAACTTAAAAAAAAATCTATTCTGTTTATTTACTTGTAGGACGAAAACCTAAAATATCTATCCAACAGTTTCTCAATAATTTAAAAGATCTCAAAACCAAAACAAATAACTGCTTCTAAATCACATTTGTACCTGTTCCAATTATCTCAAAATCCCGAGTTACTTTAAAACAGTAAATTAGGAAAACTAAATACAAAATGCAAATGCAATTGTTCCCTAAGGAAGAATATTTTGTTAGCCGCTTTCGTGATAACATAAATAAATGAACGTAAAAAAGGCATTTGGGTTACGTATTTTCGAAATAAGAGTTTTGTAAAAAAGTAAAATGATTTACATCCTCAATTTGATAAAACCAATAACTCGGCAATGGAAAAAGAAAATATTATGGTGTTAAAAGACCCTGTAGACTTTCTTCTTATTTTATGTTGTTAAATATTTTTACTATAGGGTCACACGTGCACCGTAGACGACTATTTATAACACAATATTGTTTTTTTGATGTTTTACAAAGCACGAGAAGTTTTAACTTGAAACTGCAGATTCAATTTTTATTTAAAACTTGTGACTGTAAAATGATTGACAAACACAAAAAGTTTAAGATTAAAGTTTTGTATCTTTCGATTACATTTTTTACAAAAGTTAATATTTGCAAACTTTAAACAGGAAGCTATACAATTTTTTTTACCTAAATTAAAAGAGGAGAAGGGAGAGGAAAGTACTTTACTTTTAGTTTACATCATTAGGCTTTTATTTATTTCGGCTTTTTTTATTGTGATATGTATGAGACTCAGGACCGTTCGTTTTTTTTGGAACTATTTCTTTTTTTAACAAAATGTCTACTCATTACTATTACTACTATTTGCAACTACCTGTTGCTAACTAAACTACTAACTAACTAATAGTAAACAGAGACATGCAAGAAAGTAACAGTGCATTCACGAAGAGGGGCTGCAATCAATGAAGCAGGGCCTCATTATCACATGTTCGTGTTTCATTATAATTTCCATAGTAAGGTGTTAAATTACGTATTGATGAAAGGCTAGCTTTGAACAATCGCAAATGCATGTAGCTGATATAAAGTAGAGGGATGCAGTTAATCGAAATTTAATTAACTGCTTAAACTATTGTGGTGACTCCCATATTAAAAGAAACAGAAACATACTACAGCGACATCTAAACGAAGACACACCGAACTACGGAGTAACTCATGAATGAGAATTGCTAATCCTGTATCGTTATATGAAGAATTTTCTCGCCGATTAGCATATATACAACTTTCCAACATCAAACCTGGCAAATGACCACCTCGCCTGGTCGAAGGATCCTCCCTTTTTGTTGGAGGGGCATGACACCCGTTACTCCACACTATGTTACACATGTTGTAAAGTTCTAACACCATAACAAAGACACATTCATTTATTTTAGCGTCATATTAAGTAAACATTAAAAACGATGGAAATGTCTTTTTTTACGGCACAGAGTGACGCCTGCACATGTTTAAAGCTTGAAACTATACGCAGTAATAATGTTGTCTACATTTGTTTCTTTAGGTAAAGGTAACGCAACTGTTTTCTCTTTTATAGAAATTATGAAAACTTAAATTATAAGAAAAAAATTAAAACTGAAATTGTAATTAGTACATGTAAAGGGTTACACGCTGCCGCATCGACAGATCCGTTTGTGTTGAAGGTAAAAGCGTGTCAGGGAGTTTTTAATTAATACCTGCGTAAGTACTGTGCTAACCTTGCCTACTACTCATGGGGTAATACTGAATAAATTATATAGTTACAATTTGTGATTTTATTAAACTTGAATTTTAATTTATCGCTGTAGAACTTTTAACAAAAGCCACCATATATTTTGCGAAACGTATTTATTAGGACAGCCTTTAACAGTCCACTGCTGGACATAAGCCTCTCCTTAGAAAGGAGGTTTTGGCCTACTATACCACGCTGGCCAGACGAGTTGGTACAGGGTTTGTATCAAGTTTTCCTTCTCTTTGCAATGCTGTTGATCTGCGTAGTTTTTTTGCCTTAGTCGACTCTTACTACACCCACGGGATGAATAGGGGTGGTGACACTCTGTATTCTTAATCCGTCACCACATCGAACATCTGCTGCTTTGGTGATGCTCCTCATTGTTGTAGCTTTCCATTTGTCTTTCAACCTTAGTCCCAACATACTTCTTTCCATTCCTCTTTGGCATACACTCAGTTTTTGCTCAATTTTCTGTATTTGTAGCCAGGTCTGGCAGCAGTAGGTGAAACATGGAAGTATACAAGTATTGTAGACGGTTTTCTTTTCCGAGATGGGTACAGATTTATTTTCCATAATTTCCCTTTAGGGGCCAGTATCTTTGCCAGTTATTATTTACTCGTCGTAGAAAGTAAATAGACTCCCGTAGTAATAATTTGAAAATAATTATTTGACCCATTTCACACAAGGCCATCTGATCCTAAACTAGGCTGAGCCTGTACTATGGTGACCAGATTGCTAATAAACAAACTCATTATATTTCTAAATACATACATATTATAGACAAACTACATCCAGACGCGGAACTAATGATCGTGATTAGTGCTCATTCGCCAACATAGACCACAAGGCTTTCAAGAAAAGACAAGCATTCCCGAAGGATAGCAGTATGTACAAGGGTATACAATCGGATGGTTGTGGGTTTAAACTCTTAAAACAAGCATTTAGCTTGGCTAGATCGATTAGCAAGAACACTAGTATATGCGTAGTAATATGCGATCTATTTATATTCTTTAAGAAAAAGCTAACCTGAGGGTAAAATAATACCTATACAAATCTTTGTTCATTTCAAGTATAATACACGTTAAATTTAATTAGGTTATTCAAACATACCTCACTGTACGCGACGGTTGTAAGAGGCAGGTAGTGGTAGCCAAGGGCTCGGTCCCAGATGACACCTTTGTTCCACACTTCCACCAAGAGACCCAGATTGATGTCGTTTGTTTCACTGTAAATAACAATTTGATTAAATAACTTTTTCCCGGTGAAATCACAAACAATATTTGCTCCAAATTTTCCTTAACTTTAAGATATTGATGTCAAATATTCTTTCTTGTAAAAAAAAACAATAATGTAAAATGCAGTAATAAATTCTTTGTTAAGAAATAATCGATTTGAAAGTACGATTGAATAATATGATTCAAATTCGACAATAAACTTGATTTTTAGAATTTGAATTGAATTATATTTTGAAATAAATTTATAATAAGTAATGATACTTTTCACGTTATAAAGAAGGTATTTTACATATATATAGATACTATATACTCCCTTGTTACCTTCATTGAGTAAATATTTTATAAAGACTGTTATTTTCACAAACATAAAAGGAATTGTTTACTTAAGACAAAAAAAATACATAAAAGTCACTAAATTCGAACTTTTCACTCTAAAATAGTACGATAATATTCTAATTTTCAGCTACATTTTCTACCAAATATAGTTTAATATCATTTACGTACATTAAGATACCATTATTTTTTTAAATAATATTTAATATTATACTGGTAAAATGAGCAATCTATTTCAACTGAGAAATTAACCTATTGCCTATCGTTATAGACATCTTGATAATTATTTGCTAGTAAGCTTCAAAATATCTAGCTATCTATATACTGCCAGCAGTGTGTATCTTCTAATGCTTATATCTTCTAATGCTTTATATTATATAATTTTTTTATTTCAAACTTTATGCACTTTTATGCATCGGCGGACTTAATGCCCAAGGCATTCTCTTCTAGTGAACTTTTAGGTTGTGTAGAAATCGTATAAGGTAGGTGCACAGAGGTTATTTATTATGATATGTAAATAATGAAAATATACTTACACAAACACACATATATAACTTTCATATATACATATACTACACATCAGTTCACAAATACATATATATAAATATATTAATAAATATACATATTATATTCATACACTATGTATATAAGGTGTACTATGGACTGAATAGTTTTGTCATTTCATTAAGAAGGAGATCATGCACCTTCTTTTTGAATACAAAACGGTTAGTGGACATCCAGATTTCGAGCGGGAGTGCATTCCATATACGCTTATTCTTGTACTTTAGAGGTAGTACAGTTAAATCGGATATATTACATTTTTTTAATAATCCTTCTCAAAACAACCAACAGTATAGAGACATATAGTCGTAATTAACTTAAATACAATGCGAAATCAACGCATATTCATGTGATGTGATGATGTTATTCGCTTTGTGCTAACTTTGACTTTTTAAGATGAAGGGTGCAAACGAACACAACGTTCGTAATGATTTGTCCACTTGCAAGAATCATAACTTATCGTTTATACTTTGTCTTTCAAACGGTTATCCTAAATATCCTAAACTCAGTCAAATATTTACTTAATAATCATGGGCGGAATCCGTTCGACACATTTCGAAAGTTTGTAAATGACTAGTTTTATTCCTTAATTTATATTTATTTCCAATATGGCGAAATACGAACATGTTGCAAACGTTTAAATATAAATATTTTTGTTAAACAGCCTAGCTGTACCATACCACGCTTTGCTATGGCACATTGTGGTTGAATTGATGAGAAATGACGAACAAAACTGACACGATAAAAATGATCTTTGTAGATCTTTTGAAGTTTTTGAAGCTTACAACCAAGTTAAAATTTTATATGTATTTCTTTTTATGTTACATTTTTTACATAATAATAACTTCACACATCTTACACACGGCTGTCTCATCCCAAACTAGGTAGAGCCTGTGCTATGGCAACTAGACTTACTTTATTATGTATTTGTAAATACATAAATATTATAGATAAAATATGCAAATAAACTGATCTCAAGACTTATGTAACATAGAACTAGAAATCGTCGTCGCCGTCTACTAAGTTAATTATTATTTAATAAGGTGAGACGGGAAGTTGTGGCTTTGCAAGAAAACCCAGTTCTACTTTTAGAATAAACATTTTCGTTTTAATTGACGGATAGTTCAATTAAAAGTAGAACTTCATAAAGAATGGTAAGGTTTTACTCACTACTGTATGTTTCCAGAGTTTCCGACTAGTTTTGGACCCACCCCGATAAAGATTTAGTTAAGATTGCCGTGTACTAAACAATTTATACAAAGGAAAATACAATGTGTTATGGTTACGAATAACTGTTAATTTCCTCGCCTCAATAATAAAATTGTGTACAAAAGGCCAACCTAAAAGCACAGATTAAAGTCATTGACCTCTTGTTATTTTCTGCAGGGAAAGGAAATTGAATTTAATTACTTGACCCTAATTACAGATGGCTTCTTATTTATAACAAAAGATCTTAATTTTAGAGTTGGGTCAATGGTTGTACTAAGGATTGGTATTGGTTGTGGGCTCCGGTTTCCGCATTTAGTTGTACTTAGGATGTGGGATTATATAAGATATGTATTTTTTTTCCATTTTGATGCAAGATTTGCTAAATGTTGGAGGGATTAGTCTACTGTTTCTTTATATGTTGCAAGTTCAGTTCCACTCAGATTTCTATTTTCAAGTATTTTGGAGCGAAATTCAGAAAACTGTTTAAGTTAGGAAACTCTTTTTTTTTAAACCTCCTTGCTAAGGAGAGGCCTATGTCCAGCAGTGGACTATTAAAGACTGTTGATGTGATGTGAATTAAATATGAGCTTAGGCAGTAAAAAATAACAAGCAGACATCATCTGTGAAACTAGTAATGCTATTAGTATCCGTACTTATACTATAAATGTTAAATTGAGTATGTTTGTTTGCTAACATAGGCTACTTTTTACCGCGATAACCCAGGTACAGCCGGAGCAGCGGGCCAAAAGTTACTTCGAATATGAAAATAGGCCAGGTCATTTATAAATTGAACCTCATTAGAGCCGCTCGCAACGACAATACTATATTATTTATCGTGTTCCTTCGACAGAAATAGTTACTCTTTTAGTTGAGCTGTGTGTCTAAGGTATATTTTTCACACCATTACTGTTACTACTAAACTCGCAATAATTATAAGGTTATTTATAAGCTGCAAACCTTTCTCCCATGGAGCTCTAGTGACCGCACTTCTCTAGTCTCTTCCTGGTATAAATACTTGCCGCGTTGGTGGACCTTATACTGCGAAGAACAGTAAATGTGTTCTGTTTGCTTCAACTTTAAAATTTAAATATTATTTTGTATGGTAGTAACTAGTAGCTGGTTGCTTGAGAGTGGGAAGTGGAAACGATTTGTTTCTTTAGCAACAAAATAATCGGAACATTCGTTTTCAGAGAAATATAGTTCGAAAAAGTGAAGTGCAAGTTGCTCCTTCAAGAAATTATTACAACTTTATAGAAATTTTGATAAGGTCAGTTAGTGGTACACTAAAACGTTTTAAACAGGCAGTAAAATAGTTGTGAAAAAATTCAAAACTTTTAAATTTTTTAATTTCTTCTTGAATATATTTTCAAAGTGCTTTATTGTGTAAGGAGTATTTTATTTTAAGATACAATTAATTATCAAATTCGGTATTAATTTATTTTGTGCGAAAGGTAATTTGCACGAGAGTATTCTTAGCTATAATTCAAGAAATTCTGTTAAAACTTTTAATTTATATTTCTTGTTAAGATTGTACAGATATTTTCGTAAAATTGAATAGCAGACTGTTACATTATATAGTTAACATATCAAAACTTAATTTGATTTTTAATTAAGTTAGCTCCGAAGGAAAATTTAATTTTATTGTATAAAATAAAAGCTGAACAGGGTAAGTAGATAAAACTTGTTTAGTTTATCTAAATGTTAAGTTTTGCTAAAATAACTTACCAAGTTTGTAATGAATGCACAAGATAAGAAACAAATATATTAAAACGAGTAGGTGAAATAGAATGTTATTCTTATCTATTTCATTTTAACGAGGTCAGTCAAAATTAAAATTAAAATAACTGTATAAAATATAAACTAAGTACATGTGTCGCTTGACTTATACGACCTGTATTCTACAGTTTTATTCACTTTATGTTTTGCCATAATCCATAGCAGACAAATAAACATATTCACAAGAAAATACTCGTAGGTAAAGGTGGTACGAGAGTCCGCTTGTGATAAGATTACGCATCATATACTAATTTATGCTTATTTTAGCTCTTATATCACATTTGCAGCTTGCATCAGTACTTTTTTGTGTAATAATAAATATCATTTCATCATTTTTTGTTAAATTAATAAACGTTTTTTTAAGAACATTTTTTTAAGAAATTCTTAGTTCTAGAACAAATTAAAATAAGGTGGTCACCTTATTACCAGTTAGTAGAAGGCAAAAGAAAGACTTGTCCGTGTAACTATTTTTTTTAAAATACACCTATATCTCAACAGACTGAACACTACTTGCCAAGAAACAGGCTATCCGCCTATTTTGTTACCTTAGAGGTATGTATCCAATATATTAGGTATGGTCCAATGGATGTGACTATTGTGTCCAATAAACGATTTTATTTATGGCTTTTACTTATTTGATTATTACTAGAATAATGTATCTTTATCCTTTAGTATAAATACGTCTTTTAAAGTTATAAAAAAATTAGAAGTACTAAGTACCTCCTTTATATATTTACACTAGCTTTTACCCACAACTCCACCTAAGTATGTCGGTTATCGCAGTAAAAAGCAGCCTACCCGTAAGTTACTCGCTGATAATGTAACTTTCCATTGGTGAAAGAATTTTTTTAATCAGTTTAGTAGCTTAGGCGTGAAAGCGTAAAAAACAAACAAACTTACTTTCACATATATTATATATATAAGTATAGATTATGTACATTTGACACAGATGAAGTTTTATGGCTCAGAAGACTAATGTGACATAGTTTAATGTGAATGCATTTTTATGTTCTGCCACTAAAATGTTGTGGCTATTTAAGTATTTTTCAAGAAACGTTAAGCGGATTGTTCGTTTTACGTCTCTAACACATTCAGTTTCAGAGGATCATTA